ACTGACAGGTATGACAGGGTGAACACCCTTGGCCTGGTCGTGAAAAACCTGAATTTTGAGTTGTTTATAGCTCCACAGAGGTGGGACTCATCCTACCTGAGTGATGATGCACTCAGCATAGCAAGCTACACCTGTACTCGGTGGGTAGGCTGCCACTAAACAACGTGGTCAGCACAGTTGATGGCATCTAGGGGACTATCCATTTCATTCTAAAGAAGACGCCCATAGGGTGTGAATCATACCCTAAATCTTGATGACAACTCTGGGACTGTAGACACCTTGCTGACATGTAGACATCCTCATCGTAATTGTCTGAAGTTTGGTGAACTGAATCCAACCATCACCTGTTTTACGTAGTCCTCAGGTTACAGTGATCACTGCCACGCAGAGTACTGCTGAGGATCCACAGAGTGACTTGTTAGTCATATACACTGAGGATCAAAACTTCTTTATTGATCTTTGACTTGAAATGACATTGTCATTTTCTTTGAACTCTTTTCTCTCTTTCATTCCTCCCGCCCAACATGTGTACGCACATAAACCATGTGCACACACAGAGAAAATTAAAGCTATAGTAGACATCAGCCTGAGGGCTAAGCTAATGTTCCTTGCATATAAGGCCATTATGGAAATAGGAATGGAAAATTTGTACGAGTCACCATCAATAACAACCAGCTCAGACTCAAGTGTTTCTAACTTGTTTAAAGCAAGTCTAATCAAAAATAACCTGAAACACTTTTGGACTTGTTGGGAATACTTGTGGGTGTGGCTGTAATATGTTTAATCTGTGCGCTAGAGAGACTTCCATGATTTTTTTATGCTCCAAGTTTATCAGGACAGATTCATCTTAATTCAGCAAAAATTCTATTAAAGACATTTATTATGGACAATAAAAGTGCATGAATATACTATAAGAAAATGCATCTCTGAATTTAACAGTGCATCAGCAAATGTACCACTGATGCTAAATGTCTCGGCTCTAATTGCCGAGGTCCAAAGATTCTGCAGTTTCTTAAGCAGCTGCATCATACACATCATTTGCTTTGTAGTGTACAAGTCTGGAAGGGAAATTTTCCCAGAAAACTGAAGCATGCTGATAATACTACTCAGAAGCCTTGTTTCAACTTCTCTATACCATTTTGTTAGGAATCATGCATATTTAAAGAGATGGAAAAAAAAAAGTGCAATATAGTGTTTGTGCGTATCTTGCTTTCTAAACTCCTTACATAATAAATAAATAAATAAAAGGTGGAGTAAAAGGCAGCTGATGTGAAACCTGCTGCACCCTGCCTCTCTGCATGATCTGTCCCCACCCCTTCCGGCCGGGGTGACTCCTGTGCTAAGCCTCTCCTCCTCACCTCCCAATCCCAAAGTCTGCAGAAGAGTTGAAGAGCACCTGGAAGCTGGATGGACAGCAGCAGGAGCAAAACTGTCAGCAGAACTGGTTTTCTTCTTTTTGTGTTTAGAGAAATCTAGCTGGTATCTCTCTGAGCAGAAGAAACAAGCTGGGCTAAAACAGGATCCCGTACTCCAGGTATGTGATGGCAAACTGGTCCACAATGACTGAGTTGGTGGCAGAGAAAGGCTAACTACTTTTAACTGTGCTGAAAGGGAGAAATCTGAAATTGCTAAGCAATTAGATATAGTTCTTTGAAAAGGCATTCGTCAAAACATTCATCAAAAAACATTCCTTTAGAGAGAGACTTTTTGTTTCAGTAAAAAAATGCACAAAGACGAGTGTTAGGGAGTGGATAAGGTGAAGATAAAGGGTGTCAGCTTCAGGAAAGACTGGATTTCATTTTTAGGGCTTGCTGCAAGCTGTGTCACAGCAATAGTTCTGAAGACACTGGTAACCATTTCATATCCATCACTAGCAAGATCACATTAAAGGACCATAATAATTTCTTATGGTAATGGATTTCCATTCTTTTCCTTGTTTGGTCCATTGGAGCGCTTACCATTAAAATAAACTACTACTGGAGTTTAAAATGTTAGCACTGGACCCAGGAAAATGGTAGAGATGTCACATTTGGCATCACTAGTCCAAGATCCTGCCAAGCAGCATATCACGTGCTCATACTCACTTTCTAAGAAGTGGGGATTATTCTTAGGATTATCTTTGTCCTTGTTTTACCTGATTGGTTATTAAAAGATTTTTAACCCCATGTCCCAAGTAGAAATTTGTTTTTTCCTATTGAAAACTAAGACTCAGGAGGATTTAACCCTGTGATTTGTTGCTGCCTAAAAATGTAGTAGTTTGTGTCCATCCTACCACCCAAGGGACCCCACTTTTGTCTTGTGATAACAGTAAATGACTCTCCTCAGTTTTTATGTTACTTGCATGAAAGCTGAAGGTATTGAGACACACAACGAAGAGCAGAACCACTGGTGAGAAGGAGAAGCTGTAAGAAGGCCTTCTCCTAATGAGCAGAAGGATGAAGAGCAGACTCCTGGATAGCACTCTTTTTCCCCTGTTAGCAGCAGTCAGTTTTTCCCCCATTCCTGGCTTTCTGCCAGGCCCTGCATCTCCTCTGTGCTGGAGCTCAGCAATGAGCAGCGGGGTGTAAAGGCGAGGTACTGCCTGCTTGGAACCGTGCCACAGGCAAAGCAGGAAAAGGAAAAGTGTAATGGCTGAAATTGGTGGGAAGAGGGAATGAGGTGAGACAGGATAGGTAGGAAATATCCTGGCTTGTTGCTTTGCCACACCGCGTTGCCTGGGACAAAGTGGGCGGGAACAAATAAAGCTTCTGACTGAACAGGATCCCATCAAAGACTTCTAAGCAGTTCAGGTGTGGCTGACTATTTACTAACGTTCTCCACAGCCTGGTGCCTGGAGGAGAGCCAGCTGGCTAGGTGTCAATCAAGATAGGCCAAAGAAATGATTTCTGGGAAGCAACCAGTAAGCTGAAGGCAGTAGGCTGCTCACAACTAGTGCAAACCTTAATGCCTCCTAAACGCTACTTCCTTGAAGGGGACACCATAGGTTCTGCCCTTCCGAACAAATCACCTCAGTGGGGTAAGATTGTGGCTGCCATCTCAGATGCCAGCAGTATCAGCTGTCTTTGGGAGTGCCTGTGAATTCTCCAAGCAGTCTCTTGCACTTCAACAAATTTGTTCACCTTAGGTTAAAAAAAGAGGTAGGAAGTACTTTTGCATAAACAGACATCTCTCAAGCACATTCAGGCCTATTATGGGGGGCTTAACTTAGGAGATACTCTCTCATCTGTGTTACAACCGCCACTTTCATACAATGCCAAAACAATTGAGGTTTTAGTCCTGAAGATCAGGCTACTTTCTGCTTCCTAGCACCAACCCTGACATTCAGATGTTGAGAAATGTGGGAGAAGGATTAACAAATGTCATCAGCTCTCAGTTATCAGCACAGGGGATTACTCATGAAGTGAGATCATCCACCTTGTGGCTATTTCTGAACCAGCTTGATTCTAGTAGTAAAGTCACATTTGCCCAGTTCATGTATCTCTACACCACACTCTTATCAGCCAGGAGTTACAGCTGTAATCAAGCATATTTGCTCAAACTTGGTGCTGTCCCTGCCAGATCTGGTGACAGCAGCCCCAGGGTTGGGAGAGGATGAGGAAGAACGGTGTCTCTGCACTATAGATTGGCAAGGCTGATTATCTTAGGTATAAGGCAGTTTAAATGGATATAAAATCTGGATGCTGTTACTGAGCCTGTGTTAATCATGCAAGCTGGGAAGTGTTGTGTAAGGCACAAGCAAGCGGTGAGTGTCTGCAGAATCGACTCTGTTCTGCAGTCTGTGTGCACCATGCTTCCAAATGTGTCTGTATTGCCTAGGCAAAATTTCCCATTACTCAGGAAAACCCAGCTCTCTGCTACTGTGGTTAATGGTGAGCTGAGGAAGGTATACATTTTTAACAGAACTTGCTGCACTTCCACGAAGATTAGATAGTTTTCTGAAGCACATTTTACAACACAAAGAGAAATAATAGGCTGATGTAAAAAAGATGAAATGGAGACAGTCATAATGTATATGCAGGTGTGTGTACTGCATCCCCAAGGACAGTTTCAAAGTCAGTACATGGCTAGGGAATGCTGCTATTAACAATACCCCTGCAGACTTAATTGGAGTCCTTGTACAGCTGCAGTGTAACACTACTTTTAATTACAGGGTCACATTCCGCTTTTTGCATAGAGTCATTCCAAGCTCCTGACACAGGGAGTCAGGACAACTTTTGACTATAATCTCTCTGGCACAGCTACTGGCTCATTGGCTGTAATTGCTAGTTTTGGAGAAGGGACAAAACCAAATACTCTCGCATATTTTGAATGAGATTTGCATATCTGCTTGTTTTCTTGCAATCCCTTTCAAGGGCATATGGGCCCAAGGCATTGGAATCTAATTTACAAATCCATACTGCAGTCCTTCACCAACTGAGGCTCCCAGTTGGTGAAGTCGGCTCCCAGAACAGCTGTGATGCTGCTACCGAAAGCGCAGATTAGCTAGCAGGCACCAGCACTGAGAGAAGCACTGAACACTGTACTCCACTGCAGCAGTTGGTCCTTATCCATCGCATAATTCAGAGAAACCAGCATGGGATTCCTCATGAAGACACCTGTGATGGCCTCATGCCTGGGGAGAGAGTGACACCTGAAGCTGTACTGGCTCAAACCAGTGCTGACAGGGTGGCATGGGAGCAAAACTAATGTGACATGGGAGTCAGGACCTACATGTGCAGGTTTTTTGTAATTTTGTAACTTTGCTTTTGGTATTTCTCTTCATTCTAAGCTTGATAACACATAATGGACTAAAAGCCATTCTACACTAGAACATTGCTTTTGCTTTTTTCTACTTGCTCCTTTCAGACAAGGATGTCAATATTTTTTACAGAAGTTATTGAATTACTTTCTGCAGATCATATTTGCCTTTATTTGCCCTTAAAAATTTGTGTTAACAAATTACTTTTACTTTCTTGCTCTTTTTTATCTTTTTTTTTTAATTTTATTTTTAAGGTTTCCATATGGCTGATCCTTTCCGATATGATACTGGAGAAAGATCTAAATATGAGTGCCTTGGACATGAAGTACAAATTGAGCACATCAAGGCATATGTTTGTAGACCATCCTTTTTCACAGACAAAGCTGTGATTGTGATTCACGATGTATTTGGATGGCTGTTCCCAGACATTAGATACATAGTCGATTTGATTGCAGGTCATGGATACATGTAAGCAACTGTCTTTCCTATCTTCCTCTTACACGCACTGATAGATCTCCAGGCCCAAAGCTAAGCATGGCTTATGATGTTTCCCCCCACACACAGGGCAACCACACCATTTCAGGCTGAGCGAATAAAAATGCTAATGGACAAAATGTTCTCCTGAGGCCACCAAAGCTACTAAAACTGACCCATCAAAAATGGCTACCTGAGCACAAAGCCACAAGGAGAGTCACGAAGTGCCAGTGTTTCTGCTTATGTGGCAGCACGGGGGATTACAGATAACCGTTGTTATCTATAAGTTGTATAAGCTTTTCAGAACCAAACCCTTTGAACAGCTGCTTTAGCTTTTACTATCAGAAATAGACTTGTCTTTATATAGAATCAGGAGGGCTGCTTAATCCCTTTACTTTTGTATTAAGTATGTCTAAGGAAATAATGAGAGTTTATTTGTGGGTTTTTTTCCATAGAAAGACATATACTTTTTATCTCTGCTGACTGCCAGAACAGGATGAGTAGGATGTGATTCAGATAGTAACCATGTTGAGGTGTACTCTGGAGCAGAAAATATATTAGGAGACATTTAGACATCCACAGGTTCTCCTCACCTGGACACGAATGTTGACTTGATTCTGTGTCTTGCACAGAACCATCTGCCCAGACTTCTTCAAGGGGACAGACCCCTGGAAAACTACTGATCACTGGGCTGACTTTGCTGACTGGATGAGACATCATGATCCTATGAAAGTAGACAAGTAAGATGCATGTTTGTACCTGAACTCTAGAGAGCATCCGGCAAATGAGGGGAATTTGTATGAAATGTAAAAAGTGGCACCTCACAGCAGGGCAAGCTGGCTGCGTGCACACAACTGCTTATTCTGGGTGGTTCTTCTATGGTTCTGGGCACTGTCCTGGCTGGGATTTGGAAAGGATCATCTGCTCCATCCATCACTCTGCTTATTGTCCCCATCTTGTTTTCCTGGGCTCTTTTCTAACTATGTCATACTGGCCGCACAGGCTCATAGCCAGTGTTGCACAGGCTATGAAATACCCAGCACTCCCACCCACAAGTGCTGATTCTGCCTCCAGTTCCTCAAGATAAGGAGGAAAACTCTTCCACAACTGCTCATGTTATCTGCCAGCTGCTACTTGCTCATCTTGCTTTCTGCCTTGCAGAGGTGCAGATGACATTCTGAGCAGCACTAGGTAAAAATTTGCAAGATTGCCCAAAACCCAAGATACATCTGATCAACTATACTGTTTTTCTCAATGTGAAATAGAGAGCCCACTATCTGTAGAACCTATCAGTGCCCATAACAAGGCTTCTCTGAATTAGGGGAGGCATTATGGTTTCTTCAGCATCTATCACAACAGCTTAAAACTTCAAAAGATGATAGTGAGGCAGTGATACCCTGTTACTCAGCTATCATCTTGTAAGCCTCAAGTATTCTCCTGACCCTTTCAAGAGATCCCAGCGGTCACAGACTAACTTCAACATCTCTCAGCAAAGCTTTTGACAGTATAGTTGCAGAAGTTGCGAATGAATTTTTTGAAAAGACAAATGACAAACACCTGTGAAAGGTCCTGCTCCAAAGAGTGAACAGATATGTGAACAGTCTTAAACAATTAAGACCACAGGGACATGCCTGTGCTGTCTTTTGAGGTACAGCACCTGTAGCTGCCCTCAATGTCAGATCTGTTGCTCCTTCAGAGTACAAGGATGCAACACACCCATGACTTAGTACCCTTCCAAACAAATCAAATCTGAGGGAGCTCATCTATTCACAGTGCACACGCTACAGACCTAGGATACAATCTCCTGATTGCGTCACTCTCGTACTGCTTTTTTGTCAGTCTAACCAAATCTGTGATGACCATATGAATGTGCATTATATTTGAAAATATAGTTATTAGTATATGCAGTCTGCACTGAAAATTCATTTAAAACTCTGTAGATAATAAAAAAGATAGAAGTATTGAGACCTAAGAAGTTTGCAATTAAAAAAAAAAATTACCTGCTCTGGCCTACATTAAAAACAATTTGCATGTTTTTTGCATTATACTTCATGCAATACCTGTTTTTTAAAAACATTATAGTTAACTGACAGTTTAATTTTGAGTAATTGCTACTTTAGTATAGTATTATTGCATGTGGGCTTGGTAGGATATTTTAATATTAACTCATGCAACAGGAATGGCATACTCAAGATAAATCTTTATCTTAATAGGTGGACTCTGTAGAGATAGCACAGCGAAGCTTATCTCTTCCTACAATCCATAATGCAAGATGTTGTTCTACTTGCAGATATCTCTTGTCTTTAGTTGTCCTGTCCTAGACAAAGTGATTCAATTAAAAATTTGCTTTTTTTGAAAACAAAGGAGCAGGTCACAATTCAGGTAAGTATTTAAGTACCTACACCTGTGCTTCCCTAAACTAGAACCACAGATATCAACTCCCATTTAAGAACAGAAGCCACTGCTCGGGGCTGAAATATGTTTTTTAAGTATTCTCTGTTTTAAATGATTGGGGGTGCAGATGCAGAAAAATTCATGCATCTTTTAAAATTTGCTTCTTAAATTGTCAAATACTGATTCTGCAATAGATTCCTTAGCTTACTTTTGTTTATATGTCTTAGGGAAGCTGATGTTGTCTTGAAGTATCTAAAGGAACAATGCGGTGCAAAGAAGATTGGTATCGTTGGGTTTTCCTGGGGTGGAATGGCAGTACACCACTTGATGCTGAAAAATCCTCAATTAGCCGCTGGGGTGTCCCTCTATGGTAGTGTAGAACACATGAAAACTTATTTGGGCTCACACAACTATGCATAGTTTGTAAGTCTAGTTGTTGCTTTGTAACAATTTCTGCAAATACTCAAAGGTGAGTTGCAGATTTTAATTATGATTATTCCAGCAATACGCTATATTGTTATCAAAATTTAAGAATGGTGGAAACCAGAAAAAAAAAAGTTTCCTTTTGCACAGAAATTTTATAATCTTTTTTTTTTTTAGTACTTGGAGAGTGGGGAAATACATTTTCTGAATACTTTTTTCTCCATTGGAAAAGAAACTGTCCTGAGCTAAAATAACTATTTAATGAGTAAACCTAAATAGAAATTTTGTCTTTTAATTTGCCATTTATCTTGCAAGAATGTTAACCTCACTAACAGACTGTTTCTGAAATACATTATAGGAATAATTAGGGACTCTGAAGAAAGATACGATTTACTAAACCCCACATTCTTCATTTTTGGTGAGAAAGACCACACTATTTCTTGTGATCAGGTAAGCTTTTGTACTGGAAATGCTTTTTCTTTTCCCATAGTTCTTTTATCCCACACAGAAACCCCAGCTTGTTAGAAACCATTTTCAGATACAAAAACCCAGGTGGGCTGCATTATTTTGCTTATATTTCAACTGCCCCTATATCTTGCTTAGGTTACTCAAAGCTTCTTTTTGAGGTGAGAAATGCAGTAAAGACCAGACATTGGTCTCTGAGTGGCTGGACAAGCAGAGTGTGAAACCAGGCAGGGAGATCCAACTGGTATGAGCCTGACATCTCAAAAACTTGGATACTACTGCTGTGGTTCAGAGAACAGGTAGTTACACCAATGAATTTGGACTTTGAATGGAAAAAAAGAATTTCAGCCTAGTAACGAAACTTTCTAATGGTGTGAACCAATGACTAAGTGCTTTTGGTACAAGAAGTCAAAATGAACTGTGTCAGAAGACTGAGCGTGAATTTTACCTAAGACAATGACAACTTCTGGACTCTGTTTTGACTCCTGGCTGCCATCTATATTCTGAAATAACCCCTATTGTAAGCATCTCCGAGAGGCTGGAAAAATATATGGGTAGGAAACTGGTGCCCTCTTCTGTGCACACCTTCTTTCTCTTCAGTGACAAGGACATCATACTGCCTCTAGCATAGTTTGTTGTGCAGGAGTAGGGTCTAGCTGGGGAACTGGCAGTGTGCTCTGGGAATGCAGAAGCCAATCAGTATTTAATTCTAATGGTGTTATGCAGCATGTTGATCTGTACCTCAAATATGTGTCTCCTCTGCACAGGAAAACAAATTCTTCACTCCTTGTCCCCTTTTTACGGTGAAAGTGTCTTTTTCGCAGGGTCACAATTTTCATAAATACATTTTTTCTATCACGCGTTACACATCGAAGCAATACCTTTTTCTCCTGAAGCTTTCTCTCTGCGCTGCCTGTGCAGATTGTGTAAGAAAAAATCCTGCATTTAAAAAAAAAAATAATTCTCAAACACATTGTTTCCTGCACTGAGCAACAGAGGACTCTGTGGGGAAAAAGAAAGGTGGACATGAAAAAAATTACAGTACTTTCTCTAATCTGCACAATGGGTAGAATTAAGCTTGCAGGGGTAAAATAAATGTTCATTCTCCTATTTTCTGATTTTTTAATGGAAATGAGGACAAAAATGTGTCTACACATGTATACAGGTACATAACAATATGATTAGTACTCTGTATGTAAGCATGTGTGTACTTATCACCAAAAGATTATGCAGGAGCAGTGTCTTTCTGTTATAAAGTAAACAAACAAACTCCCCCCCCCTTCTGTTTCCTTAAACTCTCTTACTAAACCTATCAAAATATTTTGGACTAAGAACCACTGAGGTTTAGGGAATATGTTCTCTCAAGATCAGAGCTTAAAATTAAGTTATGAGCCACAGATTTAGACTAGTTATAAGGAATAAATTTTTCACAATGAGGGTGGTGAATCACTGGCCCAGGTTGCCCAGAGAGGTGGTAGAAGCCCCGTGCCTGGAAACACTCAAGGTCAGGCTGGACGGCGCTCTGAGCAACCTGATCTAGTTGAAGATGTCCCGCCTCACTGCAGGGGAGTTGGACTAGATGACCTTTAAAGGTCCCTTCCAACCCAAACCATTCTATGATTCTATGAATAGAAGTGTACCTGTTCCTTTATGGCAATGAGATTTACCAAACTATCTCTGCAGTAACTGTTGAGGTTCTCAGACTGACCTATCCTTTTAAAAAACATTTCAGTCTTACATTCCGAAGAGGGATTTTCTCATCTGATGAGCAACGGAACCTGCTTCAACTGTGACAGTTGAGAAAAGACAAAGACGTAGTGATATGAGAAATGGCAAGTTTGGCAAACTTAATAAAAGTCACATTATAATGGAATAATGCTTTATTTTACAGATTACCTTACTGGAAGAGAAGTTGAAAGAGTACTGTAAAGTTGCATACAAAATTAAAGTTTATCCTGGACAAGTTCATGGGTTTGCACAGTTGAAGCCAGAAGATATGAAACCTGATGATAAACCTTATATTGAAGAAGCTAGAAGGGATATGATTGATTGGATCAAAATGTTTATTTGACAAAAGTATGAAGTAACACTAGGCTTCAAGATTAGTATTTGATTTAATTAAATTTTAGATAAGAAAATGGTCAAGGGAAAACTATCTGGTTTGGAAAATTGTCACAAACTAAAATAGGAAAAATTTAATTTATAGACCTTAGTTATTTTTTACAAGATTTACACAAGATTGTGAAATCAAAGTGGACTAAGGGATGATTAGGCATTAAAAGTTGTTTGAATTTATCTTGCTTTGTATTTGCTTCATTATTCTGCATTATGACATCAATAGTAATGACACTGTTTATCCATTTGTCTATGCTAGTGAGCATGACTTCGTCTTGACTTTACCTGAGTAGTTTCAGGATTTATTTTGGTATGATGATGGGTGGTCATAGGCATTAACATGGAAATACCCCCGTTTTGCATACAGACTCTTTTTTTATTAGCTAAAAATAATTCGACTCTGATGTACTGCTGTACTGAGCAGAATTTCCCATGCGTGAAACAAACCTTTGGCTGTGTTGATGAGTTAGGAAGGAATGATGTTGTTAGGTGGCAACCTCCAGGTAGTCCCTTGGCAATGTTAAGAAGGGCACTTCTAGTATTCCTTCATCAACATCAAGGAAAAACATAGCCCGTCCATCCTGGCTGTGGAAGTAACTCAGGTATGAGCACTATGGGAACAGTGGGTTTATTGTTTCTCCCCTTTATCGCCCTTATCTCCTCACAGATATACAACATATAAACAGAAATAAACATCCCTGTTTACCCTTACTGCACTGGTTCCAGTTTTGCTAACCTTATGACTTTTTTTTTTTTCTTTTCTATTTTTTTTATTTAATTGCTTTGGTAATGACTTGGTGTCCTGGTTTTTAGCTGAAACAGAGCTGGGTTTCTTTTTCAGTAGTTAGATAGAGATCCTCTAAGGGACTAATGTCCCTTTTTACTTTCTACAACATCTGTCAGTTCCTCACACTGTTGCCTTGTTAATGTAGTCATAAATGAAGGCCAGCTATCTGCATGGATATTACTTTCCCTTTGGTATCAGGAGTGTTTGGCAGTTTCACACATTGCTATCTTATCACAGTAACTGTATGGTCACGGTATGCTGGTTGTCTGTGTACCTCAACACAGCTGTGAGAAGTCATGAAGTCAGAGGCACTGTACAAATGGCCCGTTATTCATTGCTCTGGTCCACCAGTCCGTATTTGTGTGGCCAGTCAGCACGTCTGCCTTTGCCTTTTGGGCAGCTGTATCAATGGAGGTACGGCTACAGACAAGGTGATAGAGGATGTTTAATAGTTACAGACAATTAAACTTGAAGTGGAAAATATAAGCATTGTGTTAGAAGGACATGGAGGCACTGGAGTGTGTCCAGGGAAGGGCAGCAAAGCTGGTGAAGGGTCTAGAGCACAAGGCTTATGAGGAGCAGCTGAGGGAACTGGGGTTGTTTAGCCTGGAGAAAAAGTGGCTGAAGGGAGACCTCATTGCTCTCTACAACTACCTGAAAGGCCGGTGTAGTGAGGTGGGGGTTGGTCTGTTCAACCAAGTAACAAGTGATAGAACAAGAGGAAATGACCTCAAGTTGTGTCAAAGGAAGTTTAGGTTGGATATGAGGAAGAATTTATTTCCTGAAAGGGTTCTCAGGCATTGGAACCAGTTGCCCAGGGCAGTGGTGGAGTCCCCCATCCCTGGAAGTATTTAAGAGTTGTGCAGACATAGTGCTGAGGGACATGGTTTAGTCGGGGACTTGTCAGTGTGAGGTTAATGACGGGACTCCATGATCTTAAAGGTCTTTTCCAATTGAGGCAATTCTGTGTGATTGTGTGTTACAGCCGAGAGATGCCCTGTCATGAGCACACGGGTATCCCCAGGGGCTGACCTTCTCACTGGGGTGCTGCGCTTCTGCAAAGCTGGCAACAGCAGCCCCCTTCTCCACAACCACAGCCCAGCATCCTGCTCTGCGCACCAACCTGCCCAAATAAATTTCCTCTGACACTGAGACAGAAGGAGAAAACAAAAATATATGTGGGGTTTTGTTGTTGTTTGGGGTTTTTTGTTGTGGGGTTTTGT